CTGGTCAGATGAATCCAAAATCAAACTTTTTGGCCACAATGCAAAACGATATGTTTGGCGTAAAAGCAACACAGCTCATCACCCTGAACACACCATCCCCACTGTCAAACATGGTGGTGGCAGCATCATGGTTTGGGCCTGCTTTTCTTCAGCAGGGACAGGGAAGATGGCTAAAATTGATGGGAAGATGGATGGAGCCAAATACAGCACCATTCTGGAAGAAAACCTGTTGGAGTCTGCAAAATACCTGAGACTGGGACGGAGATTTATCTTCCAACAGTACAATGATCCAAAACATAAAACCAAATCTACAATGGAATGGTTCACAAATAGACGTATCCAGGTGTTAGAATGGCCAAGTCAAAGTCCAGACCTGAATCCAATCGAGAATCTGTGGAAAGAGCTGAAGACTGCTGTTCACAAACGCTCTCCATCCAACCTCACTGAGCTCGAGCTGTTTTGCAAGGAAGAATGGGCAAGAATTCCAGTCTCTCGATGTGCAAAACTGATAGAGACATACCCCAAGCGACTTGCAGCTGTAATTGCTGCAAAAGGTGGCGCTACAAAGTATTAGTGCAAGGGGGCCGAATAATATTGCACGCCCCACTTTTCAGTTTTTCATTTGTTAAAAAAGTTTAAATTATCCAATAAATTTCGTTCCACTTCACGATTGTGTCCCACTTGTTGTTGATTCTTAACAAAAAATTTAATTTTTATATCTTTATGTTTGAAGCCTGAAATGTGGCGAAATGTTGAAAGGTTCAAGGGGGGCGAATACTTTTGCAAGGCACTGTATATGGCAGATGACCAATGTCTGTAAATGTTGATATATGTCCAAAAAGTGCAATAATTATGTCTTGTGATTGACTGCTGGTTCCAGTCAGTGCCCAGTCCAGAGGCCCAGTAGGGAGGCTGTAGGGAAAACGAAAAGGGTTTGGAAAGTACAGAAATGCCTTCTAACCAAAAACGTTTCACCTTGGGGAAATCTTCTAAAAGGTGTAGCAGGGAGCCATTCATTCCTCAGCTGTACCAATTCACATATTATTTTCTTGTGTCCATTTTTGAGAGAGTAGTTATACAGGCACGACACAATATCTTGCATTGAATTATTCTGTAACTTGGCTTTTATAGATTTAGTAGGACATTAACAATGACAATAAACGTATTCACTCAGGCATGTCATGTTTTAAAATCATTTAAAAAAAAAAATGTTACATAGGAAATACATGTTGAAGCAAGTATGGAGGGTAAACAAAACTTTTTATTTGTATTTTTTGAAAACTGAACTGAAACTGAGACTGGAAACCAAAATTAATCTATGGGAAATACCTTTGTTCATAAAGCAGAAAACTGATGTGATGATATAGTCATATCACTAAGACAACTTAAGCTCTTGTGATGGAACACAAACAAGCAATTGTAGTTTTTAATATGTTGGATTAGATTATTCTTGACAGATAAACTCAGATATTTGTATTTTAAAGTCTTAATCAATATGACCTTCCTTCAAAAGCGCGCTGTGAATTGTCATCCTCAGATATAATTTCACCAACTTTAATCACAAGTAGATTATTTTTTTTTTAAACTATTCAGCCCTATGTACAAGTCACCCATGCCTTTATAACATCCATTACAATTAAAATCTGTGCACTTTTGCTTCATACAGTCTGCCAGACTGTTAAGAGTGTAGTACAATCTGTTTGTGGGGTTTACGACAGCATCTGGCAGATTTACAATCACCTCCATCATTTCTGCAAACCCACTCAAGGGGATTTTCACAGTAGGTGGAGCAAGTTTAATCAAAGCCTTTATCACCAGTTCTGTAGGTTGTAATAATAAACTGAAAATTATTTGTAACAGCCTTCTGATTTTCTATAAACTCCCACTAGCATGTTCTGTGAGACACTGCTGTTTAGTGGAATTTGGGTAACAATGTTTTTCAGTAGAGTGCAAGGGAAAAGTTTCACCGTGTTCAAATGGTTGGCTTAAAAAAATATATTAAAAAATCCCATTCATTGGATAGGGTTGTATAGACATGGACACAAAGCAACCAAACCACAGTCCTTTTTCATTACAGAATCTGTTAATATAAACGTCTTTCTCAGTGTGGAATTTCCATGACAAAAGGCCACAAATTAATATCACTCATGGAGCTACCTGTCGCCTGAACAAATCTCTGTGTGACTTATGACTACCATGTTTTGCATCTGCTTTCATGTAACCCTTGTGCTCTCCTCGGGTCTCAGTGATTAAAAAATACCCTAAATATGGTTTAGAATGTTGATGATTTTTCCTAACTTGGGTCATTTAGACACTTTTAATTTAGATAATTTTTTTATATCTAGGTTCTTCTTGGTTCTTCTGGTGTCTCTCCATGGGTAGCATAAGGGTTAAAGAACTGTGTGGTTTCTCATTCTGCATTCTGATAGATTAATCTTGAAAATAAGAAGCATGGATTGTACCACAAACATAGATATTATGGATCTCATGGCCATTGTATGTTTTTATTACTCATTTTAACTTGTGTTCAGAAAGGGCCAAATATGACTTGTCCATGTTGACCCTTTAGGATGCATACACAGTATCTAGAACATTAGAAATTTGAATATTGCACACACCCTATGATATTCCAATTCAACAGGCTTGTGTGTCCTGTCTGTGTCCTGACCAAAAGTTTAATCTGGATTGCCTTGATATACAGGAAATATAGACTTTAGTGATGATGATTGTACAATTAAATCAATAGCTTCTGTGCATATTAATTTTGTCAAGATTTTGTATAGGACCATTCACACAATCTAGTACAAGTCTGCAGATGTAGGTCTTCACACAAAGGTTTTAAGCCTTCAAAGTTCCCGCAGTGTGCTCTAGATGCATAAAAAGACTGCTGTATTTGCTCCTACAAGTGTTTTGCATTTACCTGATAACACTTTTAATAATGTCCTCTGAAGTCGACATCAATCGCAAAGTTTTGTTCTCGTTTCTCTTTTTAGTTTGGATCAGAATAAAAACACTGCTTGAAATTCTGCCAAACAAAATAATTGAAAAATATGAGAAGAGCGACTGTGGGGATTATAGTGGTGTGTAGCTCAACATGCAACTACAATATAAGTGTTGCCAATCATTACTTTTAATAACTGTTTGTAGGATTGCAGCAACGTTTCATGACTTAAAACATTTAAATGTTATCGGGAATAAAAGCTCCATTCTTGGAGATTACACTGTTATTTTTCTTCATTATAGCAGCTGTGGATGGCATAGTACAAAAAACATACAACTGAGGTCCAATTGAAAGAAGCTACTGCTCTAACTGATATAGGGGACCATCTTTCAACGCAGTAACACATTGTTTGTCTTGTGTTTTGGTTCAGATTTGTCCAATTTTGACAGTATTGAAAAAAATTACGACTGTTGGTAATGGGTTTTTTATAGCACTAAGTCACAACAACAGTTGTCTCAAAGGATAAAAACACAAGAAGATCAGATAAGCCATTATTCGTCCCACAGTGGGGATAGTTCAAGGAAATACAATCATTTTACTTTCTGATAGTGGACAGCTTAATGCATACATGGAAATAATGGCATTTTGAAATATCCCTCAGTATGGAATTAAAGGGAATTAAAGCTGCACTAACTGACTTTATTTTTGTATTCATTACGAAAATGCTATCCATGTCCGTGTAGGGCATTGGGATATACGTCCTTTTGACGAAAAAGTAGCGCAGATTTGTGCTGGCGTGACATTATATTTTAGATCGAGTTTTGATGAAACAAGGAAGAGAATGTGTTTCGGGTCGCGGATTGTGACCAATAGCAGCGCACCACTAGCCCCCACTTTCGTGAGAAATCTACAGGTCCGTTAGCATAGACGGCTGAGTTAGCACAACAAGCCGAGGAGCTAACCTGAAACTTCGTGTGTCTTCGTCATCGGTTACTGCTTACACAGCGAAACAGCCATCCAAAAGAAAGTCCCGTTCCTCCGCGCTTCCCGGTTCTATCGTTCTATGGTCACGCCATCCACGTGCAAATCCATATTCGTGTATTATCCATATTGGGATACGCTAACTCCGTCCCAACAGTGGGTGTGTGTGGGGGGCGATAGCTTCGTGGGTGCGGGGAGGGGAGCAGAGAGAGAGAGGCCAGCGGGTCTGCTGCTTCAAAATCCCAAAGTCAGTTAGTGCAGCTTTAATGTATTTTAAATTACAGGTAATATTTTAACTTCAACAAATTATGTTTGTGGATAAACAATGGACATGAAGTAAGTAATCTTTATTTATATAGCGCCTTTCACAGACAAAGTCACAAAGCGCTTTACAATTGTTGTGGGCATTTTTCTCTCACTCCACACAGAGAGAAAAGAGGAATTTCCACCACAGAACTTGTTCCATTTTTAGCTCAATCCCAGCAGATGGATATCGTCAGTAATCAGTTCTTTGGAGGTACATTTGTAGAAGTGTAGTAAGATTCTGGCAACAAAAGTGTGATTGTAATTATAATGACTTCATTAGACCACAGAGTTCATATCACATACTGTCTCTTTTAATTGATCTGTCTTTCTATGTTCTGAGCGGTTGAGTCTTTGACGATGATTTGATTTGAGGGATAGTAATGTTGTCCATTCTCAATCTCAATGTAGCTGTTGAATGATTCTTTCTTTCTTTGTGTCAATTTTAAAGGCTGGGATTTTTACTTTTGGAAACACAGTATGGCATTGGATTCTGTGAGCCATGATTCCGACTGCTACAAGATTAAAAATGCAATTAATTTTACACTTTGCACTGCTGTCTGCTGCATATATGAATCTCTGTATGGGTCTCGTACAGTGTCTTCTTTGCAACGATTGAGTTATAATGCAAACGAATTCTCATGAGAAGCGAGGTGAGCGCTTTCACACTTGTGCAGTATCCATTTATTTTGACTCAAGACTTAGTGAACATGCTCTCATGTTATTATACTTTGAATGCTAGTAGAAGCTAATGCATCCTGTTTCCTCTCTGTAGCGGTCTCCACACACACAGAAGGTGAAGACAAGATCCAGGTTCTTCTCATGGTGGAGGGCCGCAGGTGAGGAGGGGGGGAGGAGCTGAAGGAGAGACGTAGTGGCGTCATGGCTCTATAATAACTGGATAATGTATTACTAGCTTAAAGCTGTCCCACCCATGGGCACAGGGGGCGCCCGTGGTACTGCAAACTAAATTCATGTGGGCTACCCAGAAAAAAGTCCCATAGAACTCAATGTAAATCAAAACAGCTCGACCCCAGCTGAGAGAGAACCTACAGCTTTCATAAAGATTGGATTTTGTGGAGATTTTTGTGTCCCTTGTCATCCTGAACTTTTTTTCTTCTTCAATTTTTTGGTTTTTCTTTAAATCCACACTTTACTGCCACAAACTCTGTTCCTTTCCTTCCCGCTCTGACTCCGCTCTGCTGTTGCTCTGATCAGTAGCTCTGATTGGTCAAAGCGCAGCCGAGCCCCTCTGTGCACGTGCATGAACGCCACACACACGTATTTGGCGCAACGCATCATGGGAGCTCGTCCACTGCGCAGAACCGGGAGAACCAGACGATGCACAAACATAGGCGAGTTCAGCATCTCCCGGTCCTCGTGATGCGCTACTGAGCACAAGCCATTCATTTGAATAGGGCGCCATCTTGGATCACCGGGGCTTGAGTGGGGTACAGTGATGCAAACGTGTGCATCATGGAGCATATACCGTATTTTTTGGACTATAAGCTATGGCTCTTTTCCTGCATTTTGAAGGCTGCAGCTTAAAGTAAGGAGCCGCTAAAAAAAAGAATCATTTTGTGTAAACATTACAATTGACGAGATAGTTTTAATGTCTGACTGACTAGTTTCCTTGTCATTGAATTTAATTATTGGAACCCCTCTCAAAGTGGAGCATTCCAAAATAAAGGAACAATACTACAATAGGGGCAATGTAGAAATCACAATTTAAAGAAGAAATATTATGCCTAAGTTTCGGCTTTTAAAAAGAATGTGATTTTCCCTCTTTTGTTAAATGTGTTAGAATGTGAAATTATATCTTTAAGACAATTTATAGTTAAACAAGTGAAGGATAGAAATTGCTATAGGCCTGTAACTCGCTATGCCACCACCAAAGAGAGGAGTTGAATCAGTTTGATGCATGGGGTAATAGGGTAATAATAAAAAAACATTATTGTTTGCAATAAGAAATTTCAGACATAAGTGGCGGATATCAGCTTGAAATGGTCTAAAAACAACTCCAGGTCTAATGTTGTAACAATGATGGCAGCAATGAAAAGCCGCATCAAAGGAAAGACAAGTTTGTTTGGCACCATTCACACAAAACGCCTGTTCTAGATTATATTGAGCTGTCTAGAGTCCAGTAAAATGACTTGCATAAAAGTCATTGCTCTTGTTCTCATTGGTCTCTTACAGAACTGTGTACATCCATGGTTACCACAAGATGGACTTTTCCCTCTGGCACTCTGCCATCATGCTCGCTGCAGGTACTGATGGCAAAGCACTGGGCGACCAGCAGCTCACCAAGAACGAGGTCCCTATTGTTGTGGACAGCTGCATCGCTTTTGTCACTCAGTACGGTAAGTTTTATGTGAAGGATACTACTGACTGTCACTATGCATGTGGTTAACCTGAAAAGACTTGGGAAAATAACATCTCATTTAAAATTCTCTGGAGTTTTGCATATGTATTAGGGCTGTCCAAAATAGCGCGTTATTAACGCGTTAACGCAAATCAATATTAACGCCGTCATTTTTTTTATCGCGCGATTAAAAAAAAAAAAAAAAAAAAAGATTATTTTTTATTTTTTTATTTTTTTTTTTTTTACTTTTTATTGCAGACAAACACATATACAGAAAAAAAAATAGAAACAAAGAAAAGGACTAGTTCAGATACATTGTAGACAGAGATTACAAACAATATGTAGTTGGAGATACAGGGGGCCAAAGAAGAAACCCAGAAGGGCACATAGGAGGGGAGGGGGGGCATGAAGTGGGAGATGGGGGGAGGGGTTAATAAAAAAGGCAATACAAGCAAACAGTATACAGTCATAGATATACCGAAGGTAAACAGAGAAACAGCATAGAGTATTTACATGAACAAATTTACAAAATATTTACAGATTGTTTATCATCATCATAATGACACCATGATGTTTCTATACAGTCTATGGTCTATACCCACACATACACACACACACCCACACACACACATTGAAGGGGCTTTTTGTTACCAATTATTTATTTTGTCATCCATTTATTGATGATTTTGCATCAAATGTTAGTGTGTAATATAACACTACACATTGTTTTCAATAAAAAAAGCAATTGCACACAGCACGCAAATAGTAAGTAAGTTAGTACGTTTTTATTTATATACCGCCTTTTCTCTGCAGATCTGAGTCTCAAAGCGGTTTACAATTGTTAATTATGGGCAATTGTCTCTCACTCCACACAGAGATGGGAGCGGGGTCGCCAGTACAGGAGGCGCATGCCAGAACTATTGGACATATTTTTAGTGGTAGGGGAAACCGGAGTACCCGGAGGAAACCTACGCAGACACGGGGAGAACATGCAAACTCCACTCAGAAAGGCCTGGTCCGACCGGGATTCGAACCCAGGACCTTCTTGCTGAGAGGCGAGAGTGCTATCCACTCAGCCACCGTGCCGCAAATGTGTGACTAATTTGCGATTAATCGCGAGTTAACTATGAAATTCATGCGATTAATCACGATTAAATATTTTAATCGTTGGACAGCACTAATATGTATATAATATTTTTTTAATATTTGAATTCTGCGGTGGAAATGCCACAATCCTACAGCTCCGTCCATAAATATCTTAATAAACGCAAAGCCCTTATTGACCCCCTCAGGTTTTATGGAGCAGGCACAAAGAGGTTTCTCGGAAGTAACTTTCCTCCAAACGTCTTGAGAAGTCCCTTCTCCTCTGCTCTGTGTGTCAGCTGCTCTGGCTGTTTTCTGGAGACGAGCCCAGAGGCCTGGCCTCTGATCAGAGTGAAGCAGAAGGAAGAAGGCAGCCACATAGTCCTTAAAGTCAGATCGAGTCCAAAAAAACAACAGACTAACAGACAAAACAAAGGCCATTTGCATTACCTCCTTTGGCAGAGGAAGAAAAATTCTGTTAATATATCCCTTTTCATATAGACTTTTTGACTCGCTCGGGGTACCGCTTAAATATATATATAGATATATATAATTTTTACTTAAAATTATTGCTGTCATATTCATTCTGAAAATGTAGAATGCCAGTGAAGGTCAATATACATAACTCAAACATTTTATTCCACTTGCAATTTCATTTCAAATAAGATTATATGACGAAGCCACAAGCTTGGCCAGTGCGCCATGTGTTTAGTTGGTCTGCGATTAGATTAATCATTCCATTCCTAGACCAGAGAAAAGTTTTCAGAGTCAGGTTGGGTGGATTACTGTGAATTCATGTTACTTCTGAGGCAGGTCTTTGTCAGAAGGGGGTCTATGAGCGCGCAGGCGACCCGGAGCGAGTGGCCGCGCTGCTGGACGAGTTCACACGGGACGCACGCAACGTGAAGCTGCGAGAGAAGGAGCAGCGGCTGGAAGATGTGACGCAGACCCTCAAGAACTTCTTGTCCCAGGCCGAGGATGCACTGCTCACCAAGGAGCTCTACCCGTACTGGGTGTCTGTGCTGGGTAAGGCGCTTTTATCTCACCCAGTTTATCTAACTTCTCGATTCAAACTTCTACCAACTATAAATTATATCCTTTTTTTAACTTTAATTTAAACACAAACATGACACATAATATCGTACAGTACAGACCAAAAGTTTGGACACAACTTCTCATTCTCATTCAGTGTTTTATTTTCATGATTATGAAAATTGTAGATTCACACTGAAGGCATCAAAACTATGAATTAACTCATGTGGAATTATGTACGTATAAAGTATGAATCAACTGAAAATATGTCTTATACTCTAGGTTCTTCAAAGTAGCACCTTTTGCTCGGATTACTGCTTCACACACTTTTGGCATTCTCTTGATGAGCTTCAAGAGGTAGTGACCTGAAATGGTCTTCAACAGTCTTGAAGGAGTTACCAGAGATGCTTAGCACTTGTTGGCCATTTCGCCGTCACTCTGTGGTCCAGCTCACCCCAAAACCATTTGTATTGGGTTCAGGTCCGGTGACTGTGGAGGCCAGGTCTTCATCACTCTCCTTATTGTTCAAATAGTCCTTACACAGGATGGGTGTGAATCTACAGTCAATAGTCATGAAAAGGAAACTCATTAAATGAGAAAGTGTGTCCAAACTATTGATCTGTACTGTACATACATTACTGACTTTTCTAAGTATCTGTGTGTGATAAAAGCAAACGGTAAACTACAGAGTAAACGCAAATCTTTTTGTAATACTGCGTATAGGTCTTAACTTTATTTTCAGTTGAAAGTACGAATTCCATGCTTGTCGCAAGACAAGGATCCACCAGTTTGAAAATACGGTGGAACCTTATTCTATCCTCATGGAATCTCATTTGTTTCGATTGACAATTATCTTTAACCATTTGAATGTTGGTGGATGTAGTTTAAACCAATTAACTGTTGTTTTTTTTGTTTTTTTTTTTACATATAATTCAGCAGTGAGAAGAATATTTTGCAGGTAGCTTTAACAACAGTATTATATTTATCCTGGTGTAGGGCTGTATTATTTTGATAATTGATTAGTTGGACTGCTGTGTCCAACTGATTGTGAAAGCAATTTATTTTTTTCAATAATTTATGAGTAGAGATAAAATTATTATCTTGGTGTATACTTGCAAATTCTGATTATAGAATATATATTTTTCAACTCAACACTAGTCTATAAGGAGTTTGAGAGTCATTAGTTGAAACTGGTGCCAATCGATGACACAGCATGCTCTCATTTGGGCAAATCATTTTGGCCAAAATGCCTGATGTGCAGCCATTCCTACATCACATACAGTAGATTTGGAACTGAATCCTGGTGTACATGCAGTCTACAGGTGAAACTCTGAAGTTAAGTTATGTCTGTAATACAACTTAAATAATTATGGCTTACAGTTATTTTCAAACTGTTTTCGGAGCTGTTTTGAGGTTTCTACAATCTGTGAGCCAACATATTAATTTATAATCATTCAACAAATTAAGGCTTGATATTTCACTTTCTGTGGAACTAGTCTGTCATATATTAGTTTAAAATTGTATGTGGAATTACAGAAGATAATAGAACTTACCATAAAACAAGACTTGTGAAACATGAGAAGGAAAACAATTTAGCTTTCTCAATTTCTCAATATGTTCCCTTTAAGCAAATCACTGTCAAAATGTTGACAACAGAGATTGATCCACATTCAAAGTATCAGTAAAATCCTACAAAATAAAGGTTTGTTTTGAATATGTTCAGAGATTTCTTAGAATCACTTCTTTTTTTAGTCTCTTAATGTGTTTTGCCAGATGGCTTCAAAGTTTTTCACACATTTCCACTATTGTCTGTGTTTGCAGATGAGACCAATGAAAAGCAGAGGGTAAAGAAGTACTCAACTTTCATTGAGAGCCTGCCAAAGATAAACAGGTCAACGCTGGAAGCTCTCCTGCAGCATCTGTACAGGTAACCATCTCTGCTGGCGTCTTTAAGATGGAAATGAATTAAGCTTCTTACTAGCGATGATATTACCTTGACATGTTTTGACAGCAGACTCTAAGAAACATTTCTCAAGACTAGTACTAAAATATGCATTGAATAGAGCAGCATAAACAACTGCAAACATATTGCTTTACGGTTTCAACAGCAACAGGTAGAATTATTTTGGCTGACCAGCTGCCTGAAGATTACATGATCTTTTTTATCTCCTTTTTTCTCACAAAACCAGGATGTCTAACGTAGATTGTTAATTGTAGATATGGAGGAAATAATACAAATCCATCTTTGTATTAATCTAAGTCAAATAATATGCCTCTTTTTAATGTACATAATTTATCCTGCACTGACTAATTTATTGAGCTTAACATGTTTTCACATTTCTGTCCTGTGCACAATCTGAGTGATTCTATCTGTGCCGAATGCGACATGTACATTTATCCATTGTGAGATCAATAAAGTTTATCTTATCTTATTTATGTATCTAGAGTCGACAAGTGGAAGTGAAAATTAGAATATTGTTCAAAAGTTAATTTAGAAGAAGAATGGGGAAATTTAAGTTTGACGCATGTACATTTTCATATACCAGTCTGCCTATGAGACAGAATAGAATAAAACAACTTAATTGTCTATTGTGCAGAGTGATGTCACACATTTGGCGAGCAATTACACATATCACAAGCATATAGTTTATGATATAAAATGAAAAATCATGTATAACTAAGTACATTAGCTTTAAATATAGCAAAAACAGGTGCCATTAATACAGGTAACAAGTGGAGGACAGAAGAACTTCTTAAAGAAGTTACAGGTCTGTGACAGCCAGAGATCTTCCTTGTTTGAAGTGACCAAATGCTTATTTTCCACCATAATTTACAAATAAATTCTTCAAAAATCCTACAATGTGAATTCCTGGATTTTTATTTCACATTCTGTCTCTCACAGTTGAAGTGTACCTATGATGAAAATTACAGACCTTTATTATGTTATTATTATTTTAAGTGGGAGAACTTGCACAATCGGGGCGACAGTAGCTCAGTTGGTAGAGCATTGGCCTTTGGGCCTGAAGGTCGTGGGTTCAAGCCCACCATAAGACCTACTTCACGACTCCCACTGATGACTGCTGTCGTTGTGTCCTTGGGCAAGACACTTAACCCCACTTTGCCTGAAGCTCCCACTGAAAGATCTCAGCTCCTGTGGACTCACCACCTGCAGGAGGATCAGTGAGGGGCTGGTGCTAAGTGTACTGGGTGCAGCTCTGACTGCCACCCCCCCCGACCCAGAAATGGATTAAGGGGAAGAAAATGGATGGATGGATGGAACTTGCACAATCGGTGGCTGACTAAATACTTTTTTCCCCGCTGTAAATAAAGCAAATTACAGAAAGTGAAGAAGTGAAGGTTAATCCTGCTCCTTTCTCCCTGGCTCATAAGGCACTAATTACATCATCCGCTGGAAACCAAACAGAACACTCTTGTCACACGTAGCACCGAGTCTGCCCGTGTCTAAAAGCGCTGCTGACAGAAGAGCCCCTGCTTCCCTGTCGTGTCACTTAGTGGCCCGCTGTGGCTCAGATGGAACAGGTCTGGAGCCCCCGGGGTCCTGGGGCCAGAGCTGCACTCGGGCCCCTGTCACCTGCCCATTAGCCTGTTGTCCCCCCTCTGCCCTGCTAACACGCTGCCTGCCTTAGTCCCTGTGATCATTTTAACAACAGCCTCTTCCACAGCTTTATATTTAGCTTTATACTCATTCAATATTAACACTGTATGCACTAAAGTAGCTTTTAAAAAAAAAAACACAAACATATTTATTTAAATATTTTAAAGGTCTTGCCAGCTTAGATATTGTATTATTGGATTTCATTTTTAAAAGCATCACTATTTCTGACACATGGGACACTAAACTCTTGAGTATAGTGAACGCTACGTATTTAAAATATTCTCTTCTATTGGCATAACTTCAATCATTAAGTTTTTATGGAGGAGAATAGTTTACCCAATGTCCAGGGCCCAGAAAGATTTTTAATGTTGACCAAGCAGGAAGCTGCAGAGGTGGTCATCAGCGGGGCGGGTATAACCAGTGCTTGTATTCAAACATTTTCACACTCTCTACACTAATTAAAAAATTACTTATATTCTTGTGTTCAAATTTAATTTAAAATCTTGTCATCATCTCTTCAGGCAAATTGAACTGGCAGTAGTTATGCCAATGGGAGGCATAATTATTATTGTTGATAAATACTTACTGTACTATACAGTAAGTATATATAACAAAAATCTACAGTAAAAAAATGTAAAAAATGTATGGAATACCGATTGAAAATACATCGATTTGAATGCATAATCGGTAAGGGACAGATTCGATTCAATGTATTTCTGTATAGCTCGAAATCCAGATAAATATTTCCAGATAAATGAATAATTACTGTTATCTTGCAGTATTTTGATTTGAAAATTAATATTGATTTTATTCTGTAAACACAGTTGTACTTTATTCCATTTCATTATTTGTGATCACTTTTACATTAAGCAGATTGTATTTTAAGAGCTTATTTGCACTAATCCTTTGGGAGAGAAAGATCATTGGGTTAAAACATTTACTGCACAAGCAAAATATAACACGCAATAACAATCATTCAATACTGTACGTTCATACTGGAATAGATTTTTGCATGTGTATGTTGCTACAGAATCTAATATAATTTTATTTGTAAAGGTTTGTTTTTTGAGTTGCAAATTAGTCGCTGAAGCTTTCACTTTCTCTGCAAACAAATATGCACGTCAAGTTGAATATAAAGTTTTTCTTGCAGGCAGCCATTAGCTTTGAGAAGTTGATGTCCTATGTAAACATCTTTTTAAAACACATAATCAAGTCTGCAAGTCCTAAGAAACCAAGACTGCGCTACGGAAGGCAATTAATTGGCCCTTTCTTGGACAATTTGGGACGCTTGTACTCCGTTTCCATTAATGCTTTTTCTCTGCAAACATTCTGTCTTGGCATAACATAGTCTGTTTGCATATTAATTTGTGTATTTTTAAAAAACAAATTGTTTCCGTATTTGTGCCCCAGGATCCACCAGTGTTCACACTTAAACCAGATGCCGAGTAGGAGGCTGGCGTCTGTGTTCTCGTCCTGCTTATTTCAGACACAAGGACAAACCCCACAGGAAGTGCGAGTCGTTCAGGATCTTATTAACAACTATATCACGCTGTTTGCGGTGAGTACTTTTGAAATGATCTTTCCCTTGAACCTTTTATTACTATTCTAATAATATGTGACCAGTAGGTTAAAGCTTACTTGTCCTGCTGCCTATGAGACAGAATAGAATAAAACAACTTAATTGTCTATTGTGCAGAGTGATGTCACACATTTGGCGAGCAATTACACATATCACAAGCATAGAGTTTCTGATATAAAATGAAAAATCATGTATAACTAAGTACATTAGCTTTAAATATAGCAAAAATAATCCATGCTAAGAATTGAATCGGTCCCCAAAAAGAAAACGTAAATTATATAGCATTAATGTAAGTTCAAATTGTGAAAATTGAGTTTTGTTACACCCACCCCCACAGGTGCCTGATTAGACCCAATTTATCCAAATTCTTGATTTACAGTCGAGGCCGGTCTCATCTCTAGAAAATCTTACTGATGATACTTATTCCAAGGGGTTCTAATGATGATAAAACATGCTTAATATAAATGATTCTACAAGGTATGTTCTTTTCACCAAAAAAGTACAGATTAGGTTGCTGTCATCACCTTCAAAGTGATTTTACTGTAAAATGTGGGACATTCAACTTTCTATAAAGGTTTGGGTCGGATGCCGTAGGTAGGCGGAGATAGATGCTAAACTCATTAAGTCTTCATATTTTAGACAAACGTGGTGAACTGCGAAAACACATGAGTAACTAAAACTCAAACATTGTCTTGCTTATCTTGCCTTTATAAAGAAAAATAAATGTGGATTTTATCACACTGACATTTTTATGTTCAGACTAGCTGCTATCCCTGTATTATTATGAATTATAGTTGATAGAAATATCTATGGATAAACATGTACAAAGGATATTATTAAATAGCAAGCATGTATATTAGGCTACATGGCAATACTTTTGAAAACCAGGTCATGCAAAGACACATTTGCACTGATAATTCTTTAATTTATTATTTAATTCAATACTTTGAAGTTAAAGACATTTCACTTTTAACTTGGATCCGAGTGCCTCAGATCAATTTCTTCACTACCTTTAACACTCTTTGGGATTTGTTAAGCTATGTTTGACCTTCTTTGGTATATGTTAAGCTATGTTTGACCTTCTTGATTAAAGTTTTGTGGCTTTATCCTTGAAGAACTCCTGATTATTATTTTTTTCACTTCCACGCCCTAGCAGCACCCACATTCTCTGTTGGTGTAATTTGTTTTATTAGACCAGGGGTGTCAAACTCATTTTGGTCCGGGGGCCACATACAACCTAATCTGATCTCAAGTGGGCCGGACCAGGAGATGCTCTACAAAAATATCCAAAAACGGTACAAAGTCCAACTTTTTGTGCACATAAACACATTTATTTAAAACTTCCTTTAAAACACTATCCTTTAATACTCAGTTTTCTGTTACAAACTTAAATGTAACAGTGAGTTTTCCATAGTGCAAATAATGTAGCGTATTTACAATATTACATTGAAAATGGTATTTCACAATATGTATATTAATATTTGTGTGTTAGCTTTGTTTTAAGGCTCATTACAGAGAAAACCTGCTCACAAAGGTAAAGTAGGTAGATAGAAAAAAGCACTTAAACACAGCACCTCAGCTTAACCATCTTCAGTGTGGTAAGGTCCATGGTTATGTTATTATCACATTAACCATCTTCAGTGTGGTAAGGTCCATGGTTATGTTATTATCACATTAACCATCTTCAGTGTGGTAAGGTCCATGGTTATGTTATTATCACATTAACCATCTTCAGTGTGGTAAGGTCCATGGTTATGTTATTATCACATTAACCATCTTCAGTGTGGTAAGGTCCATGGTTATGTTATTATCACATTAACCTTCTTCAGTGTGGTAAGGTCCATGGTTATGATATTATCACATTAACCATCTTCAGTGTGGTAAGGTCCATGGTTATGTTATTATCACATTAACCATCTTCAGTGTGTAAGGTCCATGGTTATGTTATTATCACATTAACCATCTTCAGTGTGTAAGGTCCATGGTTATGTTATTATCACATTAACCATCTTCAGTGTGGTAAGGTCCATGGTTATGTTATTATCACATTAACCATCTTCAGTGTGGTAAGGTCCATGGTTATGTTATTATCACATTAACCATCTTCAGTGTGTAAGGTCCATGGTTATGTTATTATCACATTAACCATCTTCAGTGTGGTAAGGTCCATGGTTATGTTATTATCACATTAACCTTCTTCAGTGTGGTAAGGTCCATGGTTATGTTATTATCACATTAACCATCTTCAGTGTGTAAGGTCCATGGTTATGTTATTATCACATTAACCATCTTCAGTGTGGTAAGGTCCATGGTTATGTTATTATCACATTAACCATCTTCAGTGTGTAAGGTCCATGGTTATGTTATTATCACATTAACCATCTTCAGTGTGGTAAGGTCCATGGTTATGTTATTATCACATTAACCATCTTCAGTGTGGTAAGGTCCATGGTTATGTTATTATCACATTAACCATCTTCAGTGTGGTAAGGTCCATGGTTATGTTATTATCACATTAACCATCTTCAGTGTGGTAAGGTCCATGGTTATGTTATTATCACATTAACCATCTTCAGTGTGGTAAGGTCCATGGTTATGTTATTATCACATTAACCTTCTTCAGTGTGGTAAGGTCCATGGTTATGTTATTATCACAGAGAAAGCATCAAACTGACCATGATTCACTTGAAATGAATAAAACAACTTCCATAACGTGATCCATTCTTAACGACTGCAGCAGTGTCTCTGTGTAAAATACAGTCAAATGTCCAAAAATCATCACCTCCATTTGCAGCTTTGTAACTACACCTGTTTTTACCATCGGTACCAGTCCACACTGTCCAACACACCAGCAACAACAGCAGAACCAGCAGCAGAACCAGCAGCAGCGCTCAAAACTCCTCTGATAGTTTCAGTAACACCACAAATGAATATGTGACATCAGTAACATCAGTCTCTTATCAATGGCAACATGTTGGTAAAAGCGAGTGGTTTCTCAGACCATGTCTGCAGCCTGTGAGAGTTTTAACAAACTCTCTCTCACTGTGCGGCTGCGATGCTAATGCTAATGTTGTTAGCACAGGTAGCTTCCCTTTACAGCAGCAGAACTAACCTCTCGCTCTGGGCACAAACAGACTGCTGTGTCTTCAGGGCCAGACATGTTTATCTTCTGTTTTCTCAATTCTTCGCTGAAAGTGCCGTATTTTTCGCCGAGTCTTGTAGTTTAAGATGTTATTCCTTCAGCACCGCTCTGGTGGAGCCACTACAGACGCACTGGACTCACCCCTGAGCGCGGCGCTGCGGCGTCGCGGCGCCTCGCAGCGCGGAGCGGCATTTTAAAATGTAACTTTATTATATTTTTACATAAATGAGCCACGGGCCGTGTCAAATCTCTTGGCGGGCCGGTTCCGGCCCGCGGGCCGTATGAATGACACCCCTGTATTAGACAGAAAATGTCCCTGAACCAGTTGCAATAGTGTAAAAACCTGTTGACAGGAGCATTTAGACTAAAGGTTTAGAAAGAAGTGTTTGTGTCAGAAGTTGGAACAACCTTTAAACCACAGGATTTTGAAGCAAATAATTTCAACTCGTATTTTTAACAACCGTACAAAAAAAGTTATTTTGTTTTTTCTTTTTTTCAGAATTGGGGCATGTAAATATATATATATTTTTTATGATTGTAAGTAGGCCACAGATTGTTTAAGCTGAAAATGCATCTTGTAAGTTATCTGCCACCAAAGTTGCTCTGTGGAAAAGGCTGTGGCTCTATTAGTTACAATGCTCCTCAGCTGCTAAAATAAATGGCTTCATATCAAAGACTGTGCCAACTGTACCCGGCTCACACACTTGGCCCACATCTCCAGAAAAACAAACAAAAACAGGTCACCTAGAAGTGAAAATAAGACTGCAATTTTCAAGAGAAACCAGGCCGGGCTTATGCATATGTGAGCTAAATCGGCAATGCTATTTTGACAGCTGAAGAACAGTCAGTAATTATTAATAAGATCACTGTCAAATATTCTCGGATGCAAGCGGGATGTATTCAGATTTTTCTTCACAATTTGCCCTTGAAAAGGCAGCGACCGATTTTAAATATATTTTAATGGTGGTAAAGGGTTCAAAAATGCATCTGGTCAATAGTATGCGTACTACATGGTTCGGCCTTGGTGTCTTTCTGTATGATCTTGCCACTTCTGCACTTCTGGTTTTACAATGGACCAGTGTGAAATCAATGCATACTTTTGGAGAACTGCTTAGCTTCTGGGACACAGAGCTGCAAGCGGCTGCTAATTCCCCACAGAGCCCCAGATCCTTCTTGTTCTGACGTTACAGGAGGGACATTCACTCCAAATCGCTCTCGGGACGCTGCCATACGCTTGACAAATGGCCATTAAGCTCAACCAATCATGGGCCCAATAGCACTGAATGCACACTCCGTGACATCAATGAAAGACGTTTCTCTAATTAAAGCTGCGAGTGTGCGCTGGATGTTGTCAGCGGACTATTATCAGGACTAAACACGCACTCGCATTTCCCCTTCTTCAATCTCCTATCCATAACTTCTACAAAGGAAAGAGCTCTCCCAAAAAAGGATAATGATGTAAAAAGTTTGAAAATAGCAGTCTTTTTCTCCCAGCAGTGGCTCTTAAGTTCTTTTGTAGTGCTTTTTACTGTATTGGAGGCGATATGAAGTTTGCTGCTAACTATGCTGTATAATGAAGTCAATCACTATAAATAAATATATATATATATTTTTTTTTTAAAGACCAAAATCAAAAATACACAAATTAAATATATTGCAAACAGGCCCTTTCTAGGCTCTATGGGGGTTACAAGGAGGATTTCAAGAAAAGAAATGGAATAAATTGATAGAACTGTATACATTGAAGTAAATTACTTCAATGTATACATTTCTAATGTAATGTACTAATTTCTAATGAGAGCATCAGAGCATGGTCCCGAAGGTGTTTTTTTGCCTTTGTATACCTATAAAGCAATCTGTGATTTTTATCCTTGAAACCGCATAACATTGACATTGTCAGTGGGTGTTGGTTAGTCATAACCTATTATGTTTGTCTGAAGAAGTAGCAATAAAGACTGTCTTCCTTTTGTATAGCTTTATAAACTTTTCCATTTGACCTGAGCACTATATCCAAGGTCTTAAAGTTTGTATTTTTCCAGTGTGACTGAGTTGGCTCTCCCACAGGTCAACATGGAGCAGGTGCAGCAGATGGAGAGAGAGAACAGCTTCATCACGCGGTGGAACGACAAGAAGGACGCCACGGTGAGTCGCCTTAATGGAAATCTCCGCTGGCGATGTGTTTGTTTGTGCGCAAGCGTATTGATTTAGCCGCGTGTGTCATGGTCTCTCAAATCAGGAATTCATTTGTGGAGGTTCCCTGTTTTTCTGGCCCAGGGAACAGGGGGATTGGGCTACAGCAGCGGGTGACTCAGAGAAGGGCTTTGTTCGCGTTAACCTTTACACCAAGTATTTTAAGCCTGGATGCCTGAGCACAAAAAATAAAAACATTTGGTCCTGATAAGTACAAAAAAAAAAAAATGGCAGGCGCGCTTGTCCTAATCCAAAATAAGATGCGGTCGATTTGTTCCCTCTCGCTCCCCTCCTTTCTTGGAGCTGGTCCATAGCCTTTCACGACATGGCTGCCGCTCAAGGCTAGAGGGTTACTCACTGGAAAGCAGGAACTATTATGAAGCTGCTGGAGGTGAAAATTGGGACAACATTTCAGTTATGGACTCAAATCGATCCTGGGTTTAACCTGCAAAAGTGAGAGTATAGCTCGACTACATGAAAGCTTTTAGCGTTAAATCAAATATTTAGACACGTTCAAGTGCAAGTGTGCTTCCAACTGTCTCCACTTCAACGTTTTATGGAAAATCTTATGTTACAAGATTGTTCACACATCAAAAACAGAGATGTAAAAGTTTTAAAATCCACCCATGCTAACATCGGAAACTTCCGGTCTAAACATGTAGCCACGCCCCTTCTGTCTTAAAGCTCCTGTTGTAGCTCTCTTATAGTCTGTTTCTGCTTTTTTAAAACAAATGTTGCCCATATATTTCGTTTTGCTCAAAACCCACCTGTTCAAAACTGTCTACTCTTATATTACACTTTTCTTAACCTGTCCTTTTGTCTTTGAGTGTCCAGAAATGGCCTTATAATATAAAGATAGAATAATAATCTATATATTATGGCCCCAGAGAGAAAGGAGCAATTGTACTTGTTTTTAGTGGTAGGGGAAACTGAAGCACCCGGAGGAAATCTACGGCGACACGGAAGAACACGCAAACTCCACTCAGAAAGGCCCTGTGTGGAGGTGGCATTTACCCAGGACCTTGTTGCTGAGAAGCTAGTCTCATTATATGATTACTGGCCCAACAATAATCTGTATTATCATCATAGAATATAGTATACCTAGCTCTTAATTCTACTAAATTAAATGACATTTTTTCAAAGGGTAAAAGCATTTGGTAACATAGGAGTATTTGAGATAAGATAAGAGTTCCTTTATTCGTCCCACAGTGGGGAAATTTCGATGTTGCAGCGCACATACAGGACAGTAGTAAGAGCACACAGGGAGCACACACAATATATACAAAATATGTAGTAGCTATGTTTCTTAACTAGCATAACTGGCTGTAGATGCTGGAATTGCTTCAATACCAGTCAACAAATATATACATGTAGTAGTGCAGAGTTATGTACTGTACATATAGTGCAGGATAATAAGTAGATAAGTAAAGTGACATTGCTCAGTGGATTTTCTGAAGTTGCAGTATTGCACGTTGCACATGATTTAAGAATTTACTTATTTACATAAGATTAATGAAATTTACAGGCTCAGCAGTTCTTATTGTACAGTCTGACAGCAGCAGGAAGGAAAGACCTACGGAACCTCTCCTTCACACAGCGAGGGTGAATTAGTCTGTCACTGAAGCTGCTCTCCAAAGCAGAGAGTGTCCTGCAGGGGGTGACAGTCATGGTCCAGCATAGATGTTAGTTTGCTCAGGACCCCCCTGTCCCCCACCTGCTGCACTGTGTCCAGGGAACAGCCATAGTGTTGTGAAACCATATACATATTTGAAACCATAGTGTTGAGTTTGGATTTGAAATTTAATGAATGAAAGGTCTTGAGACACACAAATAAGTGAAATAAGTGTAAAGTTTTCAAATATTTTTAAATAGAGGATGGTGTTGCTTAACTCTTATGCTCCAGAATATGTGGTTTTGAAGTGTGTACAAAGAAGCTAAGTGAATGTTTTGGCAATAGAACAGCAGCAAATACAGTTCCAGAATGGTAGACATGGCACATATTTATTAGTCAGAGTGATTTCGATGTGATGAATTTAAAAACACACAGTAACAACATAATGTGAGCTTTTTAATAGATTAAAATAATAAAAAGTGCAACAATGAACTGCACTTTCAACCACATAGTTTGACCCATCTTCTTACACTCCACGTTATCCTTATCCTCCCTTTTACCAAACTCCTTGTTATTTCTTTGACAATAACACTCTGCAACAGCTTTTATAAATAACTGGATTGCAGTCATTTGAAAACCAGAGGCTCAATAGAGTTCCCACTGTACATTCGACTGTTGTATGTTGTGTTTTAAAGATGCACTTCAATGCTTTATCGGAATCCCCCGTTCTCGGGTGCTGTTAGATCAATGTCGAAAATGTCATTTTTTCTGGACAAGCCTATTTGTGACCCAGAATATATTAACCTTTAAGTACTAACATTGCTATTACTGCATTATTACATACCCATTCATCTGATTTTTCTGTCATTCACAAGTCACTATATCTGCTGCTGTTATTACTTTTGTTTATTCTGGTCATATACGCTGCTGCTAAAGTATTATACAATGTAAATACCTCCGAACTAAGTGCAATTATAGCTCCGGAGTATTATTTTATTTTCTTCTATTTTATCATCCTACTACTTTTTTGTTATTGTATCTTGTTAAGTAATATACTCTGTTTGATGTATCTTCTCTTATTTCCTTTTTTTTTTCTTTCTGTTGTAATGTGCGCAATCCTGACATTGAAATTTCCCACTGTGGGACAAATAAAGGAATATCTAATCTTATCCCAAAATAGTAGAATTTCGTCATGAGCTCCTGAATCCTGAACACTTTCTATATAGTGACCTGGCTACTAACAAAACTGAAAAATAAAATAATTCCTAAAGGCTTTATCATATGAGATGACACATGGTCAGCCCGAGTCCTGGATCTCCATCCTGTCAGTTTGTGGGAGTGGATCCCTCCCCTGATATGGGTCGCCTCGAGGTTTTTCACATTTTTATCCCACTGGGTTCTTAGTAGTTCCTTGCCGATGTATTAAGGTCTAAGGACAGTGATGAGCCGGAACAATTCTTTGGCACGGTGGCTGAGTGGATAGCACTCTCGCCTCTCAGCAAGAAAGTCCTGGGTTCGAATCCCGGCCGGACCAGGGCATTTCTGAGTGGAGTTTGCATGTTCTCCCCGTGTCTGCGTAGGTTTCCTCCGGGTACTCCGGTTTCCCCTACCACTAAAAATATGTACAATAGGTCTGGCATGCGCCTCCTGTTCGGCGACCCCGCTCCCATCTCTGTGTGGAGTGAGAGGACAAGTGCCCAAAAAAATAACAATTGTAAACCGCTTTGTGACTCTGGTCTGTGAAAGGCGGTATATAAATAAAGCTTACTTACTTACTTACTTACTTACTTAAATGTATTAACATTTATGGATTTTAATGGACATTGGTCATCCCACTCCTTATGGACCAATGGCTTTTATGTGTTTGCAATTATTGCATTCCATGTGTTCAAACCTTTTAATTCTCTGACCTGCTGTTAATCAAAAACTTTATAAAGTCCTTCGAGACAACGGCTGTTTTGATTTGAAATTGAATGAATGTCTTGTAATGAAAGTTATCACTCCAATAGTGTAAATAACAAAGTGTAATTTTTCTTAAAAACTGCATTGGAAATCTGTAAACACTTTCAGATTGTTACCTTTCCCAAAATACCAACAACCATTTAATTTTCATGTTACCTTTAATTAACACTAGCAGTTGCGAGGTGTTCTCTTATTAAAACAACTCCTGTTTTTCCTCCACAGTTTTCTCCAGCCGGGGACTTGATCTTTGAGGTTTATCTGGAGAAGAAAGCGCCAGAGAACTGCTGTTTAATCAAGGTCTGCGTCCCATTGCTCCCTGGGGTCCCCTTCCAAATAAGTGAAGTAAGGGACCGAGGGTGGTGCAAACAGGACACAGGGCTGAGGCACTGGTGCTTTAAACCTGATGGGAGCACAGTCAACAGAAAGAAATCTAAAGTGACCTAATCATAAAAAAATTGAGTTCCAGTCCAGTTTAATTGTGTGCGTAATTGCACTTCATCTGGTGCAGTGTACTACTGCAGGTGATGGGGACTCCTGCAGCACATAAACAGGAAGGGTCAGGGTCAGTGCTTGAAGCGGTTATTTATTCTGATAAGATTTATTTGGGGCGACAGTAGCTCAGTTGGTAGAGCAATGGTCTTTGGACAAATGGTCGTGGGTTCGATCCCACTACGACCCATGTCAACTGCTCCCACTGATGTCTGCTGTCGTTGTGTCCCTGGGCAAGACACTTAACCCCAATGTGCCTGAAGTCCCCGCTGAAAGACCAAGGCTGCATCTGTGTCGAAGGAGCAGCCATCTTCCCGTGGACCCACCACCTGCAGGAAGAGCAGCAAGGGACTGGTGCTGTGTGAATTGAGTGGCAGTTCTGATTGCCACCCCCCTGACCCAGAAATGGAAAATAAAGGGATGTAAATGAAATGAAATGAAAAAAAATGAAATGAAAGATTTATTTTATTGCCATTATAAGTAACAAGACGCCACAGTTTAGAAATTTGCTTTAGCTCATGGTGCAAACGAGTTATAAAATCAAAACATACAGTAGCTATAAAGGCATGCACACAAATACTTCATAACATTTGTACATTTTCTTCTTCGTACAAGTGCGCACTAAGAGCACAAAATACACACAATGTACCAGTGCTAAAGTGGCTAAAGCGAGTACTACTACTGCATTGGAATAAAGGTACCTGTTTATTTTGAGATCCTTTATTCATGCGGACATTTGGAGTTGGAATGAGGAACAAACACGAGCACGACCAACAATATTAAGTATAGCTTCATGCTTGAACTATATTTTATAATTTAGCCTAATAATAACAAGGTAACCATACAACTTTAATACTCGAGCGCAAAAGATATACTTATATACACAGGTGAAACTCTGAATGTGATTATTGCTCCAAAAGTTCATTTATTTCTGCATTCAGTTTAACATTTGAAACCAGTATATGACATAGACTCATTACATGAAAATATGACATATGACAACTCTTTGTTGTTGTTTATATTCCAATTGTCTTAAACATTTTATTTGGGAATAAACTGTGAGGCATAATTATTGACGTTGTAACAAATAAGTCTTAATAAGTCTCACATATATTAGTTTCACATTGTAAGTGGAATAACATAAGTAAATGGACTTTTGAATAACACCTGAGAGTGATCAGAATTTCACCTGTATATATGTAATCTTTAAGAATAAAGCTGACTGAAATAGCTCTGTGAGTAGATGCCTCTTTTGCTTTAAGAACTGAAGTATAAATCTAGTTAGGTCTTTGTGGCGACACCTCTTCCTTCACCATGTGTAGGGTGAGAGCAAGAAATGGCCACTACAATGCTTTGTGAGACTGTCTGTGGATTTTATAAATAAAATACTTACTTAGGTTCACAGTGATGGATTCTACTGTAAGATGAATCATCTTGAGATGCTCCTGTTTTTTTGCTTTCATATTTTGAACAACACATTTACAATAGTCCAATGCCAATTCCATACTGTGTGATAGAAGTACCTCAGGCAGTGCTAGAACTAGGATAATAACTACATTAAAACTGAATTTTGGTTTCCTGTGTTTTAGTTGTCTCCCAGTATGAGGGCTTCAGAGGTGGCAGAAACAGCCCTCAGCATGAAGAACATCACTGTCAACGCCGGGAACCTGTGGACTATGTTTGAAGTCATTGAGAATGGAGAGATGGGTATAGTAGAGTGTTTTTTTTTTCACTAAACTTGAATAAAAGTTTGATACCACAATCTCTTGTTCAAGGAAAGGTAAGAGTAACAAAAGATGGGTGCCTAATTCATCAGGGAAAAATTCAAGTGATTGTCAGTAAATGCAGAAATAGATATTCAATATTTCAGGCCGGTTCCAATACTCTATGGGGAGTCTAATTTAGGGCATAAAATGGTCTTCTTTTAATCACTGTGGTGGATCTTTTGACCTGAGGGTAAGGGTTAAGAATCCCAGATCATTATTTGATAACAATAATAATAATGCCTCGGTTTTAGATAGGACTTTTGGACACTCAAAGACGCTTCATGTCATTATTCTGGTGATAAACTACTACTGTAGCCACAGCTGCCCTGGGGCACAATGACAGAATCGAGGCAACAAGTATGTGCCATCGGCCCCTCTGACCACCATCGATCATTCACGCACACACCAGACTCATTCTAGGCAATGTGTGTGACGTGTCCTGCCTAAGGACACAACGTCAGTTTGGCCCTTGACAGCCACAGTCGCCCCACTGTGGCACATGGTGTTCCCAGAGGTCTCCCATCACAGTACTAACCAGGCCCTGCCCTGCACAGCTTCAGAGATCTGACGGGATCGATAGGCTTTTGCATGCAAGTACGGTCACATTTGATGGTGATTAAATTCACAATCATGCCATTTCTGAAACCAGTTTGACACAGGCTCTTTGGACTCTTGTGATGTCACATGAACACAACCCATGGTATAGTCTTAACTAAAACATGTAACCCAGGAGTAACCTCCACTGCCCTCTAATGTAATGTACCTGCTTAAAATGCTCCTGGTCTTAACAAGGAGTGCAGGCTTCAAGTCTGTCCTGTTCCGCTGGGAGAACGCTTGATCTCATGAACTCTGTGATTAGATGCTGCTGGTTCGTCTTTAATAAATGGGTGTCTAAGAACATGGAGGCATACTGATAAATTAGCCTTGTGCTGTCTTTTGATAATATGCACATTAATTAATCATTGTCACCATGATGTCATAAATTACCTTCATCTTCTTTGCATGATCAGCCCACCTCATTCTGGATGAATATGCATCGATGGGACCTCGTAGCTCTGTGTGCTGAGTGGGGGTACTGATTCTGCAGGGAGGGAGGGCGGGCGTCAAAGTTGAGCTTTGTGGTTGCGTGGCTTAGCTGGTGGTCCTTCAGTACTTTTCATCAGTTCACTCAGAGTTTACCCTCACTCTGATGTTTGTTTTTCTGCAAAGTTACAGAGGACACTGCGTCCTCTTCTAAAAATGAAGGTGTGTTGAATACTGAATATATTTGCCAGTGATGGTTCAGCAAATTTTCCATGGCAAGACAATATGTGTGCCGAAGAGTAAACAGGCAAGTTATTTTGAAGGTGGGACCGTGACAGGTTTGGCTTATAAAGCTATAGAGGAGGAGGGAAAGAACGTTAATTAGCTATTTTGGGAGGATGGCTTCAGATAAACACTGTTATCGAGGACAATAGGCAGAAACAGGAGCTAATATTTGTCGGGAAATGAGAAACTAATTCTGTGGCCCAGGTCTGAGATTGTGAGGGAGATAAACCTGCCATCATGAATAACTTATGCGGCTGTGGAGAGATTTACTCCACCTTCAGCCTCAAACACCGAGGATCACACAGAGATGCAGCAACAGGAATCACCAACTCTTTGGCTGAGTACATGTACCTAAATGCACTAATTAAGTAATCATAGCACCATTTGCAAATTTGACAACTAAATACAACAGTGACTGCACCAAAAACCATAGAAGGAGTGGACTAACCCAGTGCTGAAGGTTCTCCTAGTGTTTTCCATTTAACTGACGAAGCCGGCGAGAAGTAGTAGAGTCGAATGTGTGCAAATTCATATAATATGTATATAGAAATACAATTTTGGTTGGACTAAGGAAGTGTTTATTTGGCTCAAAACAATTCAACTAACTCACAACACATACACAGCCCCAAACACTCTCTGATCCTCTCCCATCACTCACTCTATGCTCAAGACATATCTATTTTCTCCACATACTTCTTCAATGTTTAATATTTAAATAATGTTTTTAAATTGAAACATTTAAACATTTGATAGGTCGTTACAAAGATGGAACCATAATATAAACACCAGGATCACAGAGAGCCCCAAGCCATGGATTTATGGGAATTTAACTTTTCAATATAAGTCCATTTGAAGCCAAAGGGCCGCTAAACTTGTTTGTGAGCTCATTCCTTTTGGGCTTCATTGTGCTGGGGGATTAGTATTATCCAATTATATATACAGTATATGAACTACACATGGAGATTGTTACAGTATTTACACAAATTTCATGCTAATTACATATCCTTTATAGTACACAAATGTCAAGAAAGTCAGAACATGACGTGATTTTGATGTTATTTCTCCACATAGAGCGACCACTGCACAACAGTGAGAAAGTGCTAGAGCAGGTCTTGGAGTGGAGCGCCCTGGAATACCCCAGCTCTGCCTTCCTGGTCATCAAGAAATTATCTGCAACCAAACGAACTGCTGAGGGAAAAGGTAAGAGTAGGTAAGACGTGAACGCAAGGATGTTCTTTGTTATTACAGTCACATATTTTACTTTGTTATAGACCAGAAGATGCTCATCAGAGGAGACTACCTAAAGTTCAATGACGGATCGTCCAAACTGTTGTCGGGCCACAAGTTTCAGGACAAATATGTCGCCCTACGTTCCGAGAAGCTGCTGCTCTACAGAGATATCAAAGTACGCACACATTTTCAGCTTAATCTCTGAAAAAAACCTGTCGCAGAGGGACTGGCTGTTACCCCAAGGAACGCTAAAGGTTATAGAATCGTGAATATTACCATAGACAAAAGTAAAGCTAGCTCTCCTGCAGTATTAAGCCAGAGATTCAAATGTTCAAATTAAAGGGTAAATAACACATATCCAGACGGAGGAAATCTCAAGGGAAAAATAGAGTAAGTTTCAGGGAGGCTGAAAGGTGGAGGTCGCATTTCAACAGGTCCAAATCCGACGAAAAATCTTAACCAATCACTTGTTATAATGAAAATCTTATCAGAAGGAAACATTTTCTGGTACATATTCAACCAAAACTGGGATAATTAATTGATAATATTAGAAAAAAGTTTCCCTCTATGGCCATAGCTTCTCCCAGTGTAATCAGCGGTATATTAATTTTTAGGCTTGGAGAATGCTTCTTGCCAAAGGACTCAGTTTGGATCTGTCCGAGAGAGGATAACATCGCCAACCTCTTAAATTTCACACTTGATTTTCCTTTTTAGCTAAACTGTTCATGTGATTTCCATTAAAACAAACGGGCAACCAAATAAAATTTAGAAATATAATAATGAATGAGCTTTAGCTGTTGGAATGAATATACTTGTCATTGTAGCAACAATTTCCGGCCCGGGCGTGTTGTAACATAGGAGGTGGATCAATAAAAGAGCTTTTGTTTCTGGTGGCTCAAACAAGAAGTCTAATTATCAAACTAATACAAAGGAAGTTTTGTGAAATTCATATTTTACGGCCCCAGTGGGTATTGGGCTCAAAGCATGCTGGAGGGATGGACAGGGCTATTTGGCTGTGATGTGTTGGTGTTTCCACGATTCCCTAACTTTGATTTTGCAGCTTTGTTCGCTTTGACTTTGTTCTTTGTAGCTGGGAGGAAACAAGTTTGTGAATAATGACTTAAATGAATTGTCACGTAGAGATAGTGTGTCAATGTGTTTGCCGGGTATTTTGTTTTTTGCATTGTTTTGGGGAAGGGCCTAAATCTGCCGACATTCCTTCTTTGGTTTAGAAATTCAATGAGGATAATGAGTCTAGCTTTCCAGGACTTTAACAGCTCTGGCGCAGCATTTCTTATTCCTGCATAATCCATGTGCTGAAATATTGTTGGGATACTTTAAGGTGTGAAGTCAGTCACACTTTCCATTTTCTTTTTTATGATACAACAATTTTGTTGTTTTCAGAATAAATATCCAAAATGGAAAGAATTTAGGTCCACATCTTCTTAATAGCACATTTAAATGTTTTTGTTCATGAAAATGTACAGTATTATAGTACAGGCATGACTACATGGATGACCAACACTTCTCCAGGAGCTAAGATGCCTGATCATGTTTCAGGGAAAGTTTGCGGGGAGGTGAATACATTTATTAAATTAATACATGATTTAGCTGCTACTAAAGAAGACCTTAGCCCTTTTTAAGATGTCTGAATTGAATCATTTGATGACATTTGAAACCCATTATTTACTGATAAAGAGATGCCCATTATTCATCCACTTGTCCTCATAGTGTATCATTGGCGGTTATGTATCTCTCATTAGTTGCTGTTTCAATGTCCTTTTCTTTTTAACTCACACTTGTTTGCACTTTTACAGAGCACTAAAGCAGAGAAGGCCGTCCCACTCAAGTCAGTGAAATGTTACCTGGGACTGAAGAAGAAGCTCAAAGCCCCAAATAGGTAAATCCAGTAAATCATAGTTTAGTGGTATTAAAAACAAGGCGATAGTGAGGATAGTGGGATTCAGAATGATGACAAATTGGGGTCAATTGGACCAGAAAGCTGTATTATCAACATGTGTTCTATATTCTATTTTTGTGTCTTAACTGTTGATTCTCTGATCTGTGTTGGTGATTTCAATGTTTTTTTTTTTTTTTATGAGATGACTATTGTTGTGATTTAGGGCTATACAAGAATAAATTGTATTGCATTATATTGTATTTTGAATTGGGTGCCAATCCCAAAGGTCCTGCTATAAAGCGACTGTCACAATTGTCTGGGAGCCCTAAACAAATTGTACAAAGGCACAAAATTAAAGGAAATTCTCCCTTGGAATGAGAATTGTCACCCGCAACAGACTTGGAATTAATCTATAAAATGGGGTCCAGAAAACCCTTTGTTTACATTAGACCAAGGGGAGATAAGTCATTCCCTTATCTCATGAAATGGTGGGGCCCCAACCATTTAACTTCATAATAGATGTAGGACTAGTAAAACCAAACACATACTGTACATAAAATACAATAACCAAATTACAAGTATTTAGGAGAAGGTTTGTGGTATCAGGCCACTATTTAGAGAGTGGTCGATATAAGCCTGAAAGAAATGTATTTGTATTCAATAATTCATGTATTGTTGCAAGTTCTGCTGTTTGGCATTGAACTAAACATGTAATGCAACTGTTATTGTCAAAGTGAAACATCTCTGGCTTAATGCAGGGTCATAAAGCGTAGTGTCATAAAGCACCATAGACTTGAATGTGTTTTACTTTGGCCAAAACGCATCCAAAGTGGATATATGTCTGTGTTAAGAGTAATGCACGCCAGAGATGAGCCATTGATCCGCGTGAAATAGGAGCTACCTTAAAGTGCACTCCTTGTCCATTTATTCATTTGCCTCAGGCCCATCGTCGCTGGAGACTTGTCTCATTGTTGAGGATGGCAACTCTTTCTCCCCCCGCTGATGTTCCTCTCTGATCAATTACAGTTGTTGAAATAGTAGGCTGGATTTGATGACCTCATTCCCTTCCCTATTACCGCTTAATTTAAACATTTGGGATATTAGATGTACACAGGTAAGACAATACTCGACAGGAGGTATCACTTAGATGCAGTGATGCTTTTCCTGTTCCAAGTTTCAAATTGTGATTTGGTTTATCTTTAAATGTTGGAGACTGTCGAAGTTGTATGTGCATGCGTTGCTGCTGCGTAACTGTGTTGGAGTAAAAAAAGAACAGAAAAGTCTGTTATCCACCTTTAAACACAACGCAGCAGTGCATATTTCTGAAACTTTTCATTAAAAAATATAGATTAGTTTCACTGTAACCTCATTTACTCCATTGTGCCTCATTCATAAACACTCCTGTGTGTGTGTAATTATTAAGTAAAGATTTTGTATCTCCCCTGTACAGTGCTATTATACTTGCATTTTCCTGTAGATACTTATCCACACCACTCCTCACCTCATCTAATTTTTCACCGTAGCACAATTGATTAACTGTAATTGCATTTTAATAAATACAAACTATCAGTGTCCCTCACAGTAGATAGAATCCACTGCCACCATTTCTTTAGCATAATGATGTTCTATTATTATAATTTATGACACATGCCAACGTTACTGCAGCTCCAGTTGGTCCTCTAAGGTTTTTGAAAGCCATTCATTTAACGTCTGGCAAAACTATTCATAATATATTAAACTGAGTCGTAAATGCTTTTGTCAGTGCCAATTGTTTCTTAATATACTTTTCTGAAAATATAGGGTGCATGAAACGCATCTAGTCAATCTATTCATCTTTTGTTCATGCTTGAATTTTTGTCTAAGGTTCAAAAGATTGTGAAGAAAGTGGGAAGAATTATACTTTTGTTATACTGCTATTCAACAATAATATGTTTACAATAGTCCCTACCCTTGGCATAACTATAACCAGTAAGATCTGCAGGAGAAGAATAGTTACGCCAACTACGAGGACCCTCAAGGATTTGAATGAGTTTTGAGAGATTAGGAATCTGCAGAGGTGACCATGGACACGTGTAACCAGCACTTGGCTTCGAAAAGATTTCATTCTCTCTGTTCAGAATTTGAAGAGGCACTTGATATCCACCACTGTCAAATGTCTTCTTTTGTGTATTTATATATTAAGAATGGTATGAATGTCTCACTTACCATCTGATCTCAGGATGTGGTTAAAAAAAACAAGCGAGCAATGGCACAGTGGCTGAGCGGATAGCACTCTCGCCTCTCAGCAAGAAGGTCCTGGGTTTGAATCCTGGTTGGAGACTCAGATCTGCAGTGAAAAGGCGGTATATAAATAAAGATTACTTACTACTCACTTTTTTATTACATAGTTCTTTTTGTTGTGTTATCTAAGTTATGTATGCCAACTATAAGTACATAAAACTATCACTTTTACCACCTCTGAATATTACCACAGTAGATCCATATTAACTGTACAGCAGCATTAGTCGCTTAATTCAAATTCATCTAATTAGTTTGCAATACTTCTCATAGTTTTAATACTTTTCCAAACACCCCACATTCGAAGCCTAAGTTTGAAGCAGTGAACTGAGAAGTGATAATAACTCATTTCACATGTTTAACAAGTCTTTGTCCTAATGTTTCCATGGTTCCTCAGTGCTCTTTGACTTTGACACTGTGTGAGCTGCATAAACATGTGGGCTTGTATAATACATTCTTCTGTTTAGCACCTTGCATCAGTCCTCTGCCTGTTCTTCCTGGTGTGAGAGTGTTAATTGCCAACAAGTTCAATTGAAATAAATTCATCAAAACAAATTAACGGAAGCAGCTAATGACATGTCTGACGTGTGTTTTGGTTTTCAGTTGGGGCTTCACGGTTTACACAGACAAACTGCAATGGTACGTAGTGATTAAATATTGCAGACTATTCGTTTCACATTGATTTATTCATGATCTAAGTGCTACTTAAAAACCTCGTTATTTGTTTTTATTTGGAATAACACTGAATGTCTAATGCCTAGGGATGGCAAATGTTTTATTTAATTATCATTATTTTTTTATAAAATATTTTGAAGTATAATCCCAAAAAAAATGTTTAATGAAGTGATTTTACCCTACTTTTCAGTGGAATGAATGACGCATTTTCACAGTTTTACAGGTTTTGTTTGTCCCTCTTTTTTCTAGGTATTTCATATCAACTGAAAAACAAAATAAACAAAGTTCATCATATTGATCAAATATTTTGTCTCGTTAATACATAGGTCTAACTATAAATACCATCATTTCTTGCTGACGTCTTTAGGCAGAGCAGTCAGTTCTTTGATGACTTTGATGCATTTAGCTCATTGCATGCCAGCCTATTTCAGAACAGGTACTCCCATATTGCCAGCCGTTTCGGATGGTTTTTTACAGATTTTTCAAGACCCACAGAATATTGTGTACTATGACTATCTGAAATCCGAAACAGGATTCTGGACTGACTACTTTCATCAGCAATTATTTTTTTTTTTTCTAGCTTGTTTCGTTCCCCTGTAATCCCCAGTCGAGTAGAGGGAAGTTTTACTGAAATCACCAAAAAGCTGAGAAAAAACAAGTGCATCTAGCTGTTTTCAAACCATCCAGAGAGCGCTGCTGCCACCTCCTGGCTCCATAAAATATGCTCTCAAGCTAATCCCCATACATAGATATAATAGACACCTTTGGCGTATTAATGCGTCAATGGCACACAACAAATTAAAGCCTCACATCAGATCGTTCATTAGCGCTTCTCTTCGTGTTAAGATACTTTTCTCGTGTAATCACGCACAATCGCAGTTATCCGACCCCATGACCCGCCTCTGTACAAGCTGAAGGAAAATGACAAGGTTGCAGGAGTAAGTGCGTGTGTGTCTCTGCTCCTCAGGCATTTCTGCTGCGACGGGAGGGAGGCGCAGGTCGGCTGGGTGGCAGACATCATCAGGACTAAGGTGGGTCCAGTCAAACGCCACACCAGCAATCAGTGATTCACTCAACAGGGTTTTATTGTTACTTTTTCTCGTCACTTTGACTTTCTAGTGCAGCGGCCGTAAAGCACACTGGTTGATTAGGCTTAAGTAAAGGATGTATGCGCTGGGCATGATGGCGTCTCAATGAAATGTCCAGAGAATGATTGATACATTTATTTAGAATAGTGTAGGTTTAGCTCACAGGAGGAAAAAATACCCTGCGATGTTTGCGAGAATCCAGTGGGTCAGAAGAGAGGAGATTGGGGTGTGCGTGTCTGAAAGGTTTGTGTCTGTGTAAGGTCTGTGTCTGTCTGAAAGGTAGTAGTAGTAGTAGTAATCTTTATTTATATACCGCCTTTTCATTGCTGATGAGAGTCTCAAAGCGGTTTACGATTGTTATTTTTTGGGCATTTGTCCTCTCACTCCACACAGAGATGGGAGCGGGGGCGCCAGTACAGGAGGCGCATGCCAGACCTATTGTACAGGTTTTTAGTGGTAGGGGAAACCGGAGTACCCGCAGGTAACCTACGCAGACACGGGGAGAACATGCAAACTCCACTCAGAAAGGCCCTGGTCCAACCGGGATTCAAACCCAGGACCTTTTTGCTGAGAGGCGAGAGTGCTATCCACTCAGCCACCGTGCCGACCTGTGCTCTGTGTCTCAGAAGTCTTTGTGAGTCTGTGTGTCTATGTATGTATGTTTGTGTGTGTCTGAAGTGCTTGTGTGTGGGTCTGAAAGGTGTTGGTGTCTGTCTGTCTGAAAGGTTTGTGTCTGTGTAAGGTCTGTGTCTGAAAGGTCTGTGTGTCTGTGTCTGAGAAGTATGTGTGTGTATGTCTGCGTGCGTGCATGCGGGCGTGTGCATGTGTGCGTGCATGCGTGTGTGTCTGTCTGAAGTATTTGTCTGTGTCTGAAGTGCTTGTGTGTGGGTCTGAAAGGTTTGTGTCTGTGTAAGGTCTGTGTCTGAAAGGTATGTGTGTGTATGTCTGCGTATGTTTGTGTGTGTCGGTGTCTGAAGTGCTTGTGTGTGTGTGTGTCTGAAAGGTGTTTGTGTGTCCGTGTGTGTCTGTGCTCATATTATCCCGGGCAGTGTTTGTTCTTGACCCCTGACAAAATCTGCGTCGTATATTTACCATTGCTACTATTACTATAATAGATCATTTAAGTGAAGTTTAACATTGATATCATGTTATATTATGTTTGAAATCCTCTTGCATTCTATAAAGTTCTCAAAAAAGTAGGTATTTTTCTGACGCTGTCTATTTCCTTTGATGCGGAAAAAAACCCACCAGATATAAATTGTATTTGAACTGTAAAATGTCATAAATCAACTCTATACATTGTGCTGTGACGAAACCTAAACAGGGTGGCGAAGTGTGAAGTTTTAGAGGTCGCTCTGTTATAAGAAAAATCGTTTTATGTGGAAAAAGCACTGAGGAGAAGGTCAAGGCAACTGTGACAATCACATTGAGGTACTTATAGCTCTGAGATCCTAAGTGTGGACACAGCACACGGCCCAGCATCCATAATGCAATGCACAGACAAGGGCGGACCACATAACATACAGCTCACTCCTTTTGCCTTTAATTAGACCTGCGAGTCGGATTAAGTTCAAGGTTCTAGAGCAGTCTGGCTTAACCAATGTGTGCAATTATTATTTTCTGTAGGAAGATATAGATACTTACTTTATTGTTCCCCTGAGGAGAAATGCAGGTGTCCAGCAGCAGCAAAAATAAAACAAAAAAACAAATAAATAATTAATGAAATCTTTGATCACAAACAATTTATATTTGTGATTCAGAGACCAATGATTCCACTGGTTTATTTAGTTTGTATGTATGCATTTTGTTTGAAAATCTACCAAATAATTTGAATTGGTGCCATTTCTATTGTGTCAATCTTTCAATGCAATTCAATTCAAATAACTTTATCCGTGAGGAACTTCATTTGCAGACGTAGCACCAGTAGGGATCCATAAAACTGTGTCACTCTCTGGACACAGTTTTCCTTCATTTTCCTGCTGTGCTTAAATTTCTTGCACGTCCTCATCATTCTAGGAACCACAGCTGGCGTTGATCACGGCTATCAAAAATAGAAAAAACAGAATAAGGCTTTTTGACCGCTCTAGAAGGAACAGCCAATTGTTTGTCTGTTGTTCCGAGCGTTTCAAGGTGTTTATTATAGCACTCCCAGCGCCTTTACCTTGATCTCAGAGAGGCTTTTAGCTCCTCAAAATAAGCCTATAGCGGACTAGAGCTGGCTAAAAATATTAGGCTCCTTCTGCGGGAAAATCCTCTAAATATTGGGATTGTCAGCAAGGACTTGTGGAGAGGACTTTACTCAGAAGGGCGGCAGGGAAAAGTGAAGATGAAAAAGTAGACATGCTACACGAGTTCTCCCTGACGCCTTTTCTCTTTGCCTGTTAGCCAGTCGACAGTTGCTATGGAAACTGTGGGACTCATTTGGAGAGGAGGTGCGGAGGGACCGGTGAGTGGACAGATCAGAGAGGCCAGAGAGGTCCAAGGACAGGTGCAGCGGTGATAAAATGAGGATTTGTTAAAGACGGACGTAACCGTGAGTCCGCCGGTCGCTCTGTGATGAAGAGGGGGCTGTCAGACGCTCAGGAACATCCAATTACACCTTTTTTAGCAGCGCAGAAGTTTGCCAGAAAAGTTTGACTTCTGCTGCCCGGCTGCGTCACGCCATTCATCACTTCTAAAGCTTTAAATTTAAAAATCTATGTGTATCTCGGTGCGTGGTGCTCTTCTTTGGAACGGATATATGAATGATTTAAAGCATTGTTTTTCTCAGGAAAGGTGTGTGCGCGTGTTTGTGCGAGCCTGTGTGTGTGTATGCCGGTGTGTGCGGTCTTGGTCATGTATGACATTTGTTACTGTTCTATTGTATTGTTAGGGATTTGTTGACGGTCATGTCCCAAATTGTCTCGTCTCTATCGACGTCTGCTTCATCATCAACAGAATGAATTGGATTTGGCAATAATATTTATTCTTGACTTTCAGAATGAGGAGAAAGTGATGGCAAATGTTTTACCATTTACAAATGTATTTAATCTTTTGAAGAGAATGACTGTCTTCAAACATTTTTTGGTGAAATAAGACTTTATTTGGGATGATTTGACAGGTTCTCACAGCAGCAGTAGAAAGCTCCACTGATTTGAATGTAATTTCAACACCTTCTACCGGTCAATATTTACTGATAACGGATCTCACAAACCAATCATGACCACTGCCCATGGAAACGCAATCTGTGCTTGTAATTCAGGTGTGTAAGATTACTCCGCAAATCCAGTTTGTCCTGTCGGTACTTATTTTCTGATATGCCCTGCGTTCTATACATTATCCCTAACTGTCTAAAACACATTTTTAAGGAATTGTAGAAATCGTACTGAAGAAGATCAGAGATAAGACATTGTTTTTTCTCATTGATAGAGAGTGGTCTACATACTATTACACGCACGCACACACACACACACACACACACACACACACACACACACACACACTATATGAGAAGGCCGAGAGATCAGTGGTAGAATGATGAAACAGATATTATTAAAGAGTGTGCACACAATATTTATGGTCTTGTGCACCTACAGGTATGTTCTATTTTTTTTCAACATCTCATCTCACGTACATAAATTGAATGTGTGTTGCAGTTTGGGTCTGATTTAAGTTTGAAGATCACTACTTCTACTATCAATGCTTCTGCACCGGGACCAGGGAGCTCTCAGCTCAGCAACCGTTGTAAACAGGTCAGTTATGATCAAATGAAATTCTTAATAAGGGAGACTATGACAAATTAGATGGCTACGAATATGGTTGCCCTCTCAAATCAATTATGATGATGTAACTCCATATGCAAATGTATTATACTTAAGGATTTCTCCCTCTGACATGAATAATGTCAGGGGCCTGGCCTCTGAGGTGCGCCTCAGCCGTAGAAAAGGTAGTGCAATTTATCTTTATCGGACTTTTGTGCCCACAGCTGACAGACAAGACAATTTGTGTTGACGAGGGCGGCTTGGCCAAGTCTGGTAAGGTTGCCAGCATTCAGCACAAGACCAACGCCATCGCCAACTGCTTGAGGCACAAAGACAAGGCTAAAGCAGCAGACATCCAGCATCGAAAGACCTCTTTGGAGCCTGTCCAAGCCCAGCCGCCCTCCTCAAGTTCTCCAGTCGCACTTCTATCCCAAAGTGGCTATAAAAGCACAGGTAAAAAGCTCTCTTTATGTGGAGATGCCAAAATGCCGGCCAATCTTCTCAATGAACTCAACTCTGTGCTGAGCAAAGGCGGGCGCACTGCAAAGACCAGTGAGTGATAGGGAAGGAGGATGAGAGAGCAGCGATCATGCCCTGAAACACATCCACATGAAAGCTGATGTGCAGGAGGAGGAGAGCAGGATAGCCTCGGGACAGAGCAGCGAAGTCTGGGAGGACAAGGAGAGTGTGGGAAACAGGTGCAAGAGAAGCCTGAGGTCACACAGACCTCAGCTGGACACGCCGCTTACTAAAGCACTACAATAGCAAAAGATTTATAAAGAACTTGGACAATGTTACAAAAATAGTGTTGGCTCTGCATGGCTCAGCCTTTTCTGGAAATAAACCTGCTTATTTTAGCCTGACACTATTTTTTTTTAAATTGTATATAGCAAACCAATGTGTTCAGTAGTGTGCTGCATATTTTGTATCTAAAGATCCAAATATTTTGTGTACATTGTTATTTCTGTAAATTGATAATATAAGAAATATATTTTTTATTACAATATACAGTGTTATATTATTTACCAAGATACTGGAAACCTATTCCTTAATCTGTAATGCTTTCAGTGATGAGCAGAGTCGAGGCCTTTCATTTCACATGAGTAAACTGCAATATTTGGACTAGTGGTATTTTAAGCCAGCAATAAAAGTAAAAAACAATGTTTGCACAAGTCGGCTTTTCTGCCTCATGTTTGTCTGTACATACATGAAAATGTTCTCATGAACGGCAATAAAAATGGTCTTTGAATTCATGCAGTAAACTCACTGTGTCAGGGTCCTGCAGACTCAAACGTGTGTGACCCTCATGGACTGTTCTTCTGCACTGGCAGCACCGTGGCAGCACCGTGGTAGCACCGTGGTAGCATCATCTTGAGCGACAGTCTCATGTGCAATACATTATTTAACAGACTTCATCTTTTTTTTTTTTTTTATCCAAAGCTGACTAATGATATTTGAATGATGGTGATTAGAATATCATTGATGATTATATGATATGATTGATTATTATTATTTCCCACTGCCCTGGCTCTCTGCAGTTCGTCATAGTACGTTTTTATTTCAAATGCTTTGGGATATGGTACTACACATACATCTTTATGAATGTAATTGTATTGAAACCTGGTCACCTCAAAATCCAATGTTTTTTAATAAAACTGGTTCTATTTATGAAGTCATCAAATTATTCCTTCTCCTCTTGCAAAATATAAGAAACTTGCCGTCGCCCGCCTCTTGAATTATGTATATATGCGGTCTTAAGAGATGCACACGTAGGCAATTGTCACACAGGTTCCTCCATGAAAAATTCATACTAACATTTTATTTTCATTACACCGCACCCAGCCGCCGCTTGTCCTTTGTTTCCTGTCCTGATACTCAAGTGATGAAATGGGCTTATTTAGGCTTTCACGGGACACTCTATCTGCGGATGTTTGTTTGTGTTGCTTATGCACTTAAAATTACATTATATTTTGTGCGTGCGTCGTCTGGGTAAATGTCCTCTGTTAAAATGGCCGTGCTGATAACTTAAACATGGAGCTATACCTCAGTTTCTCTTCTGTCTGAAAGTAAAAACCTTGGTTGAGTGAAAGTTATAGTGTATTTTTGGGAACTTATTCTGATAGTTCCCCCTGCTGAGTTCAAAACATGCCACATTATGTAACTAACCTGTCCCACTTGTCACAAAAACACCACTAAAATCTGCTTTTTCACAGAAGAATCGTTGGCTCTAAACCTCACTGGCATTGTGCTCTGTCTCCTCACAAAGGCTATTTCAAAGGTTGAGTGGCAAATGTTACATCACAAAAGGGAATGAGAAATAACGATATTCACTGAAATTAAATGTATTCCAAAAGTTACGACATGATTTGGATTCGATTAGATTCAACTTTATTGTCAGAAGCAGCAGTGCAAGTATTGGATAATATTTACAACACATAAATACAGTATATAAATGCGTTCATGTGAGACTGTGCAAAGCTAATATTCAAAGCCGGGGTCCTTTTTATATTCAAGTTGTTTAAAAAGTCCATTTGCACTTTTTTTTTATTGCATATTTAAAGTAATTGATCAATCCTGCATATCTTGTATTTCTTTATGACGGTAAACTCAAACCACCAGTATTTTTTTTTCTTTATTTCAAACATGCACGAGATACAATTATTCACAGGAAAATATGATCATAAGAGAAAACAAGAAAACCTGTGCATGGTTTAAACCCTAACCTCATAAAAAATATCAGATGATAATAAATGACAAGTGATTTATGTATTGATTTATTTGATATGAACACAACTGTTGCATTGGACAGACTAGACAGTGTTGGTGTTATACAGTAGCAAGACCATGCTAATTTTCAACACTTGTCCATATGTGTGCATTTATTTTAGGACATAAAAATGCACATGTTTTTAGAAATTACAAATATAAAAATAATGACATTTTCAATTCATTAAACATGTGAACAATGTTGCTCTGATTTCAGCCACAGATTCAGGCGTCTGAAGAAGATGTTTAAGTCGAGCACCCAGGTCCGTCTATCCGCTTCATCACCAGTATGTCCGGCCCGCTCTTGTGTCTTTGAACGCATCACATGAGCTCTCCTCTCCTTTTTTCCTCCCCTCATGGCTGTTTTCTCCCTAGTGTACCTGAACGAGGCATGCGGTTCTCTGCAGACCCCTGAGGTTCAATCTCTCCCCTATCTTCTGCGCTCGTCTTTCAGCGAGTAATTAGCCGTCATTGTTGTTGTTCAGCTAATCATGAATCTCGGCAGCCGATGAGAGCTGTTATCTCGCCATCAGGAAAGACGTGCAAAAGTGAGGCCCTTTGTACGCGATATATATTATGATAGCGTCGCCACCTTATCACCAAAAAGAAAAACGAGATCGGATCTTCTGGAGTCATTTGCACGTATAATAGCAATTATCAGATTGTATTGTTTCTTTGGTTAATTGTGCTTTCAGATGCGGCTTGAACAATAGATTGTAGTCCAAAGGGTTACATCAGACCGAATATACAAGCTTGACGCAAATGATGGCAGCCTTCAGGTGAAGTAGGAGTAAGAACGTATTTGTATTTTTTTTGTTTTGGGTTTATTTTTCTGCCGAACAAAAGTCATTGCTGTGGATTTTGAATAATTAAAACCAAAAACACATTAAATTTTAAGAGCTGGCTGCCGCTGTGACATTTACGTGCTGAGTGTGAAAGTAAATGAGATCATATTTGGGAGTGCTACAACTGCTGTGCACTCTGGACCATGTTTTGCTTTAGAAAAGGGTGCTCTAAAGCTCTGACGAAGACCATTGTAAGTCCAAACCAGTTGCCTTTGACCATGTGGATAAAAGCCTTTTTAATGAATGTCCCTGTGGTTCCTTTTGAATCTCAATATGGATCTATGATTATATATTATATCATATATTTCTATGCTTTATTTTGCAGTGCTCTGTTTGGTCTCAATGGAATCACAACAAAAGGTGCACAGACACATAAGTAGTTCCAAATTCATAAAAGAATAAAACAAATCTGTATCTTTTCTTGTCCGACTTTCTCTTTTCATTGAGAAAGTGGCATAAAACATTGTAGGACCAAATCTGGAGATGCACCATCTAAAAAAAAAAATCTATGTTGGTTAGCAAGAGGGTCCTGGGTTCAAATCCCGTTTGGGAAAGGGCCTTTATGGTTGTGGTGTTTTGCTCCAGGTGCTCCGGTTATAACCCATACCACTAAAAACATGTAAAATAGGTATAATCCTCCAGCTCTGGTTGTCCTGACCAAACCGAACTGGTTTGTGCTGGTGACCACTGCTCCTGACAGAGACCCTCAGGGCATTGCACTATGGGTCAAATGCAGAGGACATATTTTCCTGATAGGGACAAAAAACTATAACTTACTATGACTTAGGCAAGAAGGTATTTTATTATGTGATTCGGATGCAGCCTTTGTTTTCTTGTGCCTGTGCAATCGTCTGCGTATTCAGAATCAACAGTGTGGCAGATTTCTCGCTCATTTTTTAGTTAGTAAACAACATAAACATGTTTCTCAAGGCTAATGTATTAAATCAGGTTTAAATTATATATTGCAATTATAGTATAAAAGATTTAAATACATGAATGTTCTCTGGTGAAAATAAGTGGAATTCCTGCTGCATGAACTTTCAGTCCATTTCAAAGTTAGAGCAATGTCTTACAAATACATCCCATTCATATTGATGCATGAAAGAGAAACTTAAAAGTGACTGTAATTGAAGTTACTTAAACTTTATACTCCAGTCTCCCTCTGGACAACAATCTGCAAACATCAATCCATAGATTTTTTGAGTTTTAAGAAAACCCCAAATGGGAAGCCCCGCAACTGGTGTCCTCCATTCTGCATAAATCATGCAAGATACATCGCAACACCGGTTTGAAACGTATAAATGTAAGTGCATCCAAACAGCAGCCAAGGACAACAGCTGAAGTTTTGGAGGACAAGCCCTGCCACTTAAAAAGAAGCTTGATGCATCTTTAACAAGACGAGACTCTAGTCATTCTCCCGCATGCTGTTTTTTCTGTACCCTGTAGAGCTGATAACCTCATTGAGACTAAACAATTGGGAGATGAAGGTTACTGTGGATGGACTGGCATTCCAGATGAGACGGGGATAAATAAATAATGCACTCTAAGACTACAAATTATGCCGAAGCGAGCCGTTACGAATCAATGCCGTCCGATCCATATGAGTGTCCTTGAGATGGTGGTTGGTTTGGGGAGAGCTGGGGGCGAACCGCTGACAGATTGGCTGGGCTTGTTTTTTAGTTGGCTGGGTGATCCACTGGGGAGCTGGACCCGGTTTTCTACAAGGAAGTCAAAGTCCTGTATTACGGAAAAGCGATTCAGGAAGCTTGGATGTAGCAGAGGTCAGCTTGCAATAAACCTGTAGAGATTGCTTATTGGTATTGGAATTGGTAGCTGTCGAGTTATACAGTAGCAATTACAATACTAGCTTTACTGCAATGCTATTCATAGGCATACATGAAAATGCAGTACTTGAAATCCAACCAGAAAGAAATTGTAGATGTATCATGCACAAGTAGTGGTCTTATAAGGTCAATAAAATTATAATCCAACTTTTCCGGCCAGTCTTTCTGCGTGTGACACATCCCAAAGCTCCTAAAGCACTGATTACTAATGCCAACCACTTTTTGGGGTTTAGCTACGGCAAAAATTTTTGTGCCTCGTTTCATTTAAATGGTTTGATTCTAGTTTTTGTTTGTGAA